CTGGTTTTTGTTCAGTTAGAGACTGGGATCCCAGCAGTTGGGGAAGAGCCTCTTTCTATGGGCTCCCAGCTACAACAAAATCCCTTCTGGAGCAGACATTAAAGTTGTTAAGAAAGCTCTGAGGACCCCAGCCAATGGCCAAAATGGTCTCTGAGGAAAGGCAATTACTGCTCACGTGATTTCCTAGCAAGGCACCTGGTCTCTTTCCTGTAGGAGAAGAGAAAGTGCACCTCCCGGTGCCAGCTCCCAAAGCCCTCCCACACCCCCCCTATAAGGTTTTAAATGACTGAGTTCCAATTCTTCATAGTCCCTCAAGGAGTTAGTTGTCTCTGGTTTCTATTTCTCCAGTCATAACAATGTCAGAAATTATTCTCATTGCTGTCCTCACCAGTGTGGCTTTATCTTGCTAAAAGGGTGGTTTTGATCCACATTATCAGAGAGGGCCAATGGAGTACCTTACACAAAGACCTCAAAAAGACACATTGTGTCTTCTGTTTGCCCTCCCTGGGAGTCAGGTGTTTAATTAAGTCTTTCCCTTTCCTTTTTTTAAAATACAAATTAAACCATAGGGAAAACAAAAGCCTGGGATTTTGTCCAGAGGGAAAATTGGCAAATTCTTGTTGGCATGGCCTTTGCTAACTCTCTGCATCTTTCACACTGTAATAATTTTTAGCCCCAATTCATAAGTATTTTATTAAGTCATTGAATTTCAACATGTCACAATTGTTTTTGAAAAGAAAGAAATAAGAAAGATGAGGAAGAGCAGAATCATTGTTCTCCACAATATGAGAAATTGCACCATGGGTTGGGTCATCAGAAAAGTCATGACGCATGTTTGCATAGAAAAATACGTCGTCGTGACTTTTCTGACCACCCAATAGTCCATTGATTCATCATGATGCTGAGTTCTAAATTAAGATCAAGAGATATGAAATGAAATAGAGAAAACATGATGCCTTTCTACGAGGAATGTGCAACCAAATAGACTGCCTACAAAATGAACTAAACTGGGACTAAACTGTTAAGCAAGGTGTAGGTAAGGTGCTATAGGGATTCAGTGCAGGGCAAGATTGTTTACAGATGGGGTATACTGAGGAGGGCTTCCAAAGAAGGTAGAATTAATTTAAATCATCATAGATTGCAACATGTCTGTACATCAGAACAAGAAAGAGAGAGAAGGAGAAAGAGATGGGCCCCGTCCGCAGGATCAGATAATGCTGCAATCCCCTTCCTCCAGACCTCCAGCCATGGCATCCTGGACACTCACACATGTGTCTGGTATGTTTCAGGTTGACCAGGCTGTGGATGTGAACTGCCGTCACCACATGGGATCCAGCTTAAGAAGCAGCATTACTGCCACACCTAGAGCTGGCCCAAGGAGGTAGATTCTGACAATCAATTAGAGGAGAGGTGGGAGAATGTTGGGAAAAACATTTCAGGAAGGGGGAATCAGCATGACCAAAATGCACAGCAGCAGAAGAGCCCACAGACTGGGAGGGGCCCGTGGCAGCAGCACAGGTTGGTACTAGTCAAGTAAAGCCCAGGACTAGGGTGAGGTAAGACACTGGCTCAAGCACAAGAGTTAAAGTGGCACCAAAAACCTCCTAAACAAAATAAATCATAGTTAATCTAATATTTATAAAAATAAAAATCAATGCCAAAAAAATTGATGATGAAAAAAAACAGTAAAATCCTAAGTAAACATAGCACTGTGTTACTGATTTTCCTTTTGCTTCAGTTCCCAGAGAAGCTCAACACAGCTCTGTTTCTGAGATATGCTTTAAATGGGAGGCCAAGACCAACGGGTTTTCATAGTATTTATGGACTGAAGAGTTTTCCAGTAATCTAGGGATATCCCATTTCTTTCCTCAAAATTTTCTACATAGTAAGAGAAAATGCAGAAATTCAGTATAAGATTAATTACTTGTAGAAATTCTTTAACTATTTCAAAGCATTTTCTTTTTCATCTATCTCCCAAGAGCCCTATGGAATTGAGAAAATGAGGGTCTTCTTGGTACTGATGAGGAAGCAGAGGCACAGAGAGGCAACCAAGACCACATGGTTATTTGAACAGCAGACTGTAAATTTTGTCTGTTCTGAGGACACTGGTGGTTAAAGGACTCTGCCCAAGCCACAGCCTCTTCTTTCCAAAAGAACATTTGCCTGTGTGACCAGTGTGACCAGGCATGCACACGTGTGCACATGTACACATACACACACACATTCATACTAGAGTTCACTGAGTGAAGAGATATGTCTTCTAGGTGATTATGTGTTAACAACCTAAATCTCAGTGGCTTCACAAAATAAAGGTTTGTGTGCTTGGTTATGATAGAGAACTCCTGCATGCACAAGATAGAGAGAGAAATAGCCTCGACAGAGCGTCAGAGTATAATCCCCTT